AGCAGGTGGCCTCACAGTCCTGGAGCCCTTAGATCATCGTACATCTGTCTTGTGACACACATACGAGCCACTGGCTTTCAAGGACTTGGGTGGGCTGAGAGGTGGGAGATGCAACTCTGACTGCAAGATGCCTGTGGAGGAATCAAAGATGCCACACAGGGCAATCTTCTCTCTGTTATCTCCACAGCGGAGCTGCCCCAAGCCTCCATCACCAGCAACAAATTCAATGCTGTGGAACATGATGATGAGGTAACCATAACCTGTATACCTGAAATTGGAAATGCCACCTACCTGTGGTGGGTAAATGGTGAGAGCCTCCAGTTCAGTCCCAGGATGAAACGGTCTGATGACAATAGGACCCTCACTCTACACAGTGTCACGAGAAATGACGCAGGGTCCTATGAATGTGAAATACAGACCTCAATGGAAGTCATCCGCAGTGACCCAGTCACCCTAAATGTCCTCTGTGAGTATCTTTTGTTCCTCTGTGGGCCAGGCCACCAGCTAAAATCCAAACAGCCGGAGGCCAGGCCTCTCAGTCTCTCTCAGGTTCAAGTATGACACCCTTACTTCTGGACACCCGAGCTGGCCATGACTTCTTGCCCTGGGAAACCGGGTGGGCAGTCTTGATCAAGAATATAGGGGGAGGGATGCTCTTGTCATGGGAGACTTGGGGTCCACAGCTTGTGATGGGAGAAACAGGTGAATACTTCAGGCTTCGGCTCAGTGAACACAGAGGGGGTTTGGCTGGGACTTCAGGGTGTGTCTTGGCTCAGAGGAACAATGTATCCCTTTAACTGACCAGGACCATCCCCTTCCCTTGGAGGACATTACCTGTGGCTTTATTCTCTTTGCTCCAGATGGTCCAGACTTCCCCAGCATTTCTCCTTCAGATACCCTTTACCATCAAGGAGAAAACCTCCACCTCTCCTGCTTCGCGGACTCTAACCCACCGGCAGAGTATCATTGGATGGTTAATGGGAGGTTTTTGCCACCAGGACAACAGGTCTATGTCCCCCAAATCACTACAAAGAATACTGGGCTCTATGTTTGTTTTGCTTATAACTCAGTCACTGGCAAAAGAAACTTCGCATTCAAGAAGATCAAAGTCGTTGGTAAGTGAATCCCGGCATCACTGGCAGTAGGTTTTTAGATGGAGTCTATCTGGCTTTCAGAGAAAGTCAGGAAAACAT